AAACGATATACATCTGTATAATAACTACCTTTAAGAAATTGTTTTATTAATTTTTTCTTATGCATCATCTTCAAAAATGCATTTTATGTTGAAAGTATTTCAAAAGCCATTAAAATTGGATGTTTCAAAGGTTATTTTATGAGGATGAAAGGAGATATTTCTTTGAATATTTAGAGCAATTTAAATAGAAGAGCTAAAATAGGTTTTAAGAAAAATCCCATGTGCCCAATCCATTTCAAATTGGCAACTAGAGGGGCAACTGGGTGGCTCAGTGGGTTAAAGCCTCTGCCTTCGGCTTGGGTCGTGGTCCCAGGGTCCTGGGATCGAGCCCCGCATTGGGCTCTCTGCTCTGCAGGGAGCCTGCTTCCACCTCTCTCTCTCTCTGTCTGTCTCTCTGCCTGCTTGTGATCTCTGTCTGTTGAATGAATGGGTAGAATCTTTAAAAAAAAAAAAAAATTGGCAACTAGAACAATAAAACAATATAAGTGGAAGACAAAGCTCTTAATGATTTGCAGTAAAATGCAATAAACTAGAGAGGCAGGACTGTAATCCCATGGTTGTCAACCCGGCTTACCTTATGACAGATAAAAACTCAGGAAGGCACTGTGACTGAACAAACTCCTTTGGGCTTCTTCAGATTCCTTCTGTCATCCAGTCTTCTAGACCCAGGAGAGTTTGATTGCCCACTGTCCACTGCATGCATTTAGGCCAACCAGACACACAGCTGAAACTTCTAACCCTTCCAGCAACTTCTGGATTTGGATGAGATACAATACCTCATGAGGAGGAATATGGCATCACAGCTCCAAAGAGATTGGATATGCAACCTAAAAGTCTGGAAAAGTTAACACTGTAGAGCCACATTTCACCTGTGGGCAACAGGAGAAGTGAGTTCCAAGGCAAGGGGAATTCTCCCTCTTTCTTATGAACTTCTTCAAGGCACAGTGGCCTGGTACAGTTCCTCTGGACAAGTACTCTATGCCAGGTGGATGCAACTGCCCATAGGACCTGCTGTTTCTTTACAACTCATTGTGACACAGTAACCTGTGACCACGTTGTGTCACCTCTAACTTTGCTGGACTTCCCTGTGACCCTGCTCTAACTGCACCTTCTAAATAAAACACTAGCATGTTGATCCTTGCCTCACATTTGTTTGCTGGAGAACCTGGGCTAAAATATATCTCCTAACTCAGGATTTTAGTAATGTACATTATATATTTACAATTGTGAATTATTAGTAACAAAAAACTACCATCCTTCAAGGTATTTTATAAATAGTGAAGGTAATTTTACGGGTTTCAGTTTTGTAATATTGATTTGTTAAAGCCATCTGTTGATGCTTCTGAAGATACTAATTACAGTAGCACTTGGAAGCTAATTTCAGGTCACAATAATGACTGTTCAGATAGCTAGCTGCCCAATGACTTTTATGGTGATCTTGACAGTTATTTTCTAGAAAAACATCACTGATTCTCAGTGGCAAGGTCAGGGTTCAGGACCTCTCTTGGCCTTCCCAGGGGCTTCGAGGGGGGAGTCAGAAGCCGGAATGAAACACTAGTTTCTGGAACAAGAGGATGATTAGAAAGACGTGAGATGATATGGTGGTGAAGATATACACCTGTGTGACCTTCAAGATGTGATACCCATGGAGGAACCACTCTCCAAAACAGGACCACCTAGGAACCCTGAGACTTCGTTTCAGAAAGAAAGCAAGTGGTCCTCAGTTTATCTCTCTGGGAAAGACTTTCTGACCTCAGTCTTGTTTTGTTCTGGCATAACACTCATTTTTCTGTCCATTTCTCTTTGTCAGCTTCTTCCTTTCAGCCTTACCTGCTCTTGGTTTCTTTGGTTGACATCACTTAGACTTGTAGTCCAGGTTTTTCCACTCAAGTTTATTCTCTTTGGTTTGGTTTTTAATGCTCCATTTTTCTCTGAGATCCCTCTTCTAAGATTCTTACCTGCATCTCCCTTCTCAGCCTCCTCTGAAGTTGTGACCTGCACGTCATTCAGCTGGGACTCTAGCATTCAACGGAGGAGAGAGGAGACTGTGTTCACATTTTTTCTTTCATTTAAATTATTACTAAATTTTTGTTCTTTTCTATCTGTTTTCTATTTTAAATTGTATGATGTCAAATATTCTGGAATAGTAGTTCTCAAGGGGGGTGCCTGGGTGGCTCAGTGGGATAAAGCCTCTGCCTTCAGCTCAGGTCATGATCAGAGGGTCCTGGGATTGAGCCCCGCATCGGGCTCTCTGCTCAGCAGGGAGCCTGCTTCCTCCTCTCTTTCTGCCTGCCTCGCTGCCTACTTGTGATCTCTGTCTGTCAAATAAATAAATAAAATATTTTTTAAAAAAATAGTAGTTCTCAAGCTTTTGGGCTTTACGAACCCTTTATACTTTTCAAGTTATTAAGAACTCCAAATAGCTATACACATTTATTATATTAGAGATTAGAACAGAATTTTTAAAAGTATTTATTAATTAAAAGCACAATAATAAACCCATTACATTTTAACATAAATAGTATTTTTGTGAAAGGTAACTATATTTTCCAAAATTAAAATATGAGAAGAGTAGCATTATTTCAAAAATCTCTTTACTATCTGGCTTAATGGGTGATAGTTTGAGAGAAAAAAGAGGAGACAGTTTAATTTCCATCTGCTTCTGCATTCGATTCATTGTTTTGTTTCAAGTATAGATAAAAATCTAGACTCACTCAAATATGCAATGGAAAAGGGAGAGCCTCATATATGACCCGCAAGAATCTCAGGGAACCTAAAGGGTTCTCCCGTAACACTTTGAGAACCACTGATCTGGAGTACACTGGAGAAATAATTATCCTTTTCAAAATTGTTTATTAAAGAGAAATTAGTTCTGAATTCAAAATAAATAACTACATGAGAAGATTGCTAGTTCGATAATCTGATGTGTTTTCACTATTTCCAGAATTCAGATAAATTAATTGTCAAGGAACTAAAGCATAATAAAAATTTTTAAAAGACATCCCAATATGTAATATATGAGATATAATGTGGTAAAAAAAATAAATACTTAAAATGTGTATTTGTATTAGAAAAGCTTTTGTTTAATATAAATACATCATATGAAAAAATTAAAGGATCTCATGGTGTATTTTATATTGATTAGAAATATATGAAAACAAGGGGGAAACCTTATATTACATAAACTCTAAATGTGTAGAGAGAAAGATAAATTTGAATACTAACAGTCTTTTTGACTATTTTTGAAACATTTTTATTATTGAAGTATCATTGACACACAATGTTACATTAGTTTTGAATGCTAACAGTCTTAAATAAGAAACACTCAGGTTCTTTTTTTTTTTCTTAAAATTTTTTTTAAAATTATGCAATAATGAAAAATATATTTATCTTGTGAGAAAATCTTTAAGACGAAGAGAAGATTATGATAAAAACTATCTGTATCCACTGAATGATTCCTCTTATATGAGACATCTCAAATAGTCCAACTCATACAAGTAAACAATAGAATCATGGTTACCAGTGGAAGAGTGAAGGGGGCAATGGGGAGTTGTTCAAGGGGTATAAAGTTACAATTTTACAAGATGAGTAAGTACCAGAGATCTGTCATACAACAGAATTCCTATAGTTAACAATAAAGTCGTGTGCATTTAAATAGTTAAGGGGGTAGATCTCATTTTAAGTGTTCTTACCACAAACACACACACATGGTGTGTGTGCACCCATGTGTGTGCAACATGAAAGGACACAAGAAACTTTTGGAGGTTATGTTGATTATATTGTGGTGATGAAAATATAAGCATATATGTATGTCCAAACTCACCAAATTATATACATTAATTATATGTGGGTTTTTTGGGAACTAATTATACCTCAATAAAACTGGAAAAAGTAATAAAAATAGTAATTTTAAAAATAATCTGTATCCAAATTTTCTTCATAACCATCTGCAGAAACTGAACTAGAGTGTGAGTGTGAGGCAAGAACTCTTGGGAGGAGATCTGTCAGCGTCATCTGCCTGTGCTAGCAATGCCTCTCTTATTCAAAGATTTCATTTGATACAAATAGAGATTATGCTGAGTGAAATAAGTCAGAGAGAGTCAAGTATCATATGGGTTCACTTACTTGTGGAGCATAAGGAATAACATGGAGGACGTTGGGAGATGGGGAGGAGAAGGGAGCTGGGGAATTTTAGAGGGGGAGACAAACCATGAGAGACTGTGGACTCTGAGAAACAAACTGAGGGTTTTGGAGGGGAGAGGGTGGGGTGTTAGGTAAGCCTGCTCCATTGCATGGAGCACTGGGTGTGGTGCATAGACAGTGAATTTTGGACACTGAAAAAAAATAAAATTTAAAACAAAAAAAAAAACTAAATAGAATATAAAAAATGGTTACTGGTAGTGACAGACCCTATTCTCTCTTGCTCTCACAATTTCAGAGAAAAAGCTAATACCTTTTTCTTGGTTATTTGAGCACAATTTCTAGGGAGGACCCTGATTGGGATGACTTGGGTCTGGCGGATAGCCCTGACCCAGTCACAGTGCCCAAGGAAGAGAATTCTGATTGAATTGGCTGGGTTATGTGCCCACCTCTGTGTGAGAAAGGCAGTGAAGTGCCTGACAGCTCCAATGGGTTTGGGACAGGGATTCATAAAAGAAAAGAAGAGGAGGAGACAGGTTGAGATGAACTTGTGCCTTAGTGGTGTGGGTAATGATTTTTGAAATAGGGCCATGTAAGAGATTTGACAAGTTGGAATCCGCATTTTTAACTAGTTTGACTTTCTGCCTGGAGCAGAGAAGAAAGACATACAAGTGAAAAGTGGTGGGGGGGGGCGAGGGGGGGGGTGGGTAGGAAAGAAACACAAAAAGCTTAAGAATAAGCCTCTCTGCCAATTACCTGATTCACGCAGGTGGTTATTGCTGGTTCTGATTCTCTGCCAAAGTTAAGGCATTTCTAAAGTGGGAGTTTCTTTCAGTTTCTCTTTTTCGTTTTCCTTCTAGGTGGACAAGAAAATTGTAAGAACTGAGATAGGAGTTCTTCTTCGCCTCTCACATCCAAACATTGTAAGTGGTTTTTAATCTACTATTTCAAATAATCTTCAAACTTACAGACTGGAATTTTTGTTCTTTGCTGCCCGTGCTGATAATAAGAAGGGGATATTTCTACCACCAATAGGTAGCCACCATGGCCTACCTCCTGTCCTCATCTAACCACATTTTTCATTTCTTTAGCTGAATAAATCTTAAAAATAATACCACGCAAAATAATTTCAAAATGGACAGATCAGCAATATATACCATCTTTGTTTTCATGCATAAAAGGATAACTAAAAATTGAGGAGTTTTGTTTCACTCTAATAAAACACTGGCCTTTTCCTTTTGTGTGCCTATCTTATTAATATGCCATTGCTGAAAAAGCCTATGAAGAAAATGCATTGCTTTCCAAAGTCATTTTAGTCTCCCTTGAGAGTGTCTACTTCAGAAACAGTGTGAAGATTCACATAAATGATGTACTTGAATGGGAAAAATCAAATGTCCTCAAAAGCTCTGCTCTAGGCTGTATCCAGACAAAGGCATTGAGAGAAAGGTCTGGCAAAAAGCTTTCTTGAGCCAATGAAGTGAAAAGAACAAAATCATTTTCCAGGCCATAACTTGAATTCAGCCAACTACTTAAAGAAAGTATTTTACTCATTTCTTTGAGAAAGCTGTGTTGTCCAGGAGGATGACTAACCTGCAGTGCTTACTTGGGCTCCAAGCAAAGTGCTTAAAACTTAAATATGGGTTAACAATGCAGGCAGCTAAAACAGAAAACTTGAATATGGTAGTCTAAATAAATATTTTCTTTATGTTATAATCGGAAGGCAGGCAGTTGCTAGCATTGGTTTAGCTCCTCAGTGATGCCATTCAGAACTTAGATGTCTTCCATCCTCACACTTTCCATTCATGGTCCTAAATGGCTGCTCCACTGTCTTCACAAGTCTTCAGGCCTATACTCTAGAGAGAAAAAAATTGGAAAGGCCACACCAACAGAGTATGAAGAGAAGAGGAGAGGCTTTTCCGGAACTTACAGCAGCAGCAGAATTCTCTTCAGATTTATTGGCCAGAGCTAACCATAAGATCACTGCTCTTCACTGCATGGAGATTGGAAAATCAGGGAACAAAGTTATCATAAATGGCTTAGACCAATCATGATCCATAATTTGAGGCTAGGTACCTTTCTTCCCTAAACAAAATCTGTTTGCAATAAAGTAGGGGGAAGGAGCTTTGGGTAAGTAATAAACAAAATTTACCACATACAATCAATCACCACTTTTACATTATCCATCTTTTTCTTTCAACGAAAAGCCAGTGTGGAATTTTCCTTAAATGTAGATCAGCGCTGGTCACTAGATTCCCTTATATACTGAGGAAAATATCCAGAATTGGATGGATTATCTGAATGTGATGAAATCCTATTATAGTCAGTAAAATCAATGCCATCACTACTTTTCTGAGGATCTCTTTATCTACCAGCAATTTTTTTGCTGTTGAGAGATACTTTTCCGTACAGACCTTTTTTTCTTTTCTTTTAAGATTTTAAATATTTATTTGAGAGAGAGAGAGAGAGAGAATGAGAGAGAGAAAGAGAGCATGAGAAGGGGGAGGGTCAGAGGGAGAAGCAGAGTCCCTGCCAAGCAGGGACCCCAATGTGGGACTCGATCCCAAGGTTCCAAGATCATGACCTGAATCTAAGGCAGTTGCTTAACAAACTGAGCCACCCAGGCACCCCAGACTTTTTTGAAGAAGAAGAAGAAAATGCTTTTATTAATCACAATGTGAAATTGACATGACAGACTTTAACCTGGTCCCATTCTGCCTCAGATCCCAAATCCAAGTTCCCTTTCTGGAGAAAGAAGCATTTGCATCACTAGGAACCATGACTTTTTCAAATGGTTCAAGAAGTTTTGTTTGCTTGCTTTTGTTTTTTAGTTCTGGAGAAATTCAGAAATTGTGATGTTTTGGCAAAATTTGGAAGTGTTTCTAAGGCAGGTGTCTTTCAACTGTCAAAAGGAAAAATATAAAAACTCGAAAGGACCTTTAAGGAAATGAGGTAACAGATAAAAACAACCAGAGAGTGACAGATGGCTTCTTGTTACAGAATGTGGGAACTTTATTGACTAATGATCCAATATATTACTATTACAAAGAGTGTTGTTTTGGTCATAGCACTAGCTTTTCCTAGAAAGTTGAAAATAAGGAATTTATTATTTATTTTTTAATATCTTTCCCCAGATAAAACTTAAAGAGATATTTGAAAGCCCTACAGAAATCAGTCTGGTCCTAGAACTGGTCACAGGAGGAGAACTGTTTGACAGGTGAGTTGGTCCTAGAAATCTAACCAGAGAGAGGTTTTGCTTCCAGGCACCAAAGAGTATCAAGGGGAAATTTCCCCTGAAGATTTTCATAATGACACATCATGCTACTTGATAAATTGTACTAAAATAAATCATAACAGGAGTACAGAATGGAGAGAGAGTGTTATTTGCTTTGATGTGGGTAGGTGAAAATTTGCCTTGCTTAGTGAGTAAAAAAAGAAACACAATATCAGTTTACTGTTGCAAACATTAACTTTCCCAATAAAAACAGATTTCTGAAGTCATTATAAATTTAAACTAAATGGTAGCATTTTGATGAAAATTATAGGAAGTTAAACACGTAACAGTATTCTCTGTTAGGATTCAAAAGCTCATAAAAATCAATATTCTTCAAATAATTATTTCTAGGCCTACTTTCTCTATTAAGCTGTTTAGAGTTCTCAGATGCAGAGTAAAATGTTCTGTTATTTCCAGGGACAGCCAGTTTTAGTTGTCTGTTCTTATGCTCATCACTCAAGGCAGAGTTGGAGGTTGGCAGGAAGTTATGTCTAAAAATTTGATGGAGCATAATACAGGCAAACAATATGTACAAGAGACACAACCTTTTAGTTTTAAGCACAGCCCTTTGCTGTGCTCATTGGGGTAATCAAAAAATAATGGAATTGGAAGAAGGCAAAGTGACTAAGTAGGTATATATTAGAAACGGTTAGAAGCTGTGCAATGATACAAAATTCTTGTTGCTTAAGAATGGGTTAAGAGAGGAATGGGGTGCAGAGAGAAGACAGGAAAAAAATTGAGGGAATTGCTGATAAAGCCTGAGTGCCTGGAGCACAGTCAATTCTCAGTAAGTGTTCGCTGAATGAATGGGCAATCATTGTAATGAATGGACTCCCAGGAGAAAGATCTGCAGGGGATAGGGTTAGAATGTGTTGGGAAAGGAGTTCTCCTTTCCAACTCTACCCGGTTCAGTTTGCTGCCTGCTTCAAGAGCTTCCAAAGGTATTCATGTTGGTTTTCAAAGGTTCTGTTTGTTTTTAAATGTTCCCCAGTACAGATTTGGATCTTCCGATAGCAAGGAGTAAAGTGGTCCAGTTTGATTGGAAGTACATATATATCTTCAACAGATATATAATTTTGCTCATATATACATTGAAATTTTCTTAGAACAAGTTATGTGAATTATCAGACTTTAAAAATTGTAACATTTTAACTCTATCCTTACTTTACAAATAAATGAACCAACTTTAGGAAGTGAGTATCAATAGCCTGAAGACTTATACTTCTTGTGGCAGTTGGCGGATAGTTGTTTGGATTCATGATTCTAGAGCCTGACTTAAAGGGAAAATACTTAACCTAGGATTATTGGTTTACCTCTCTGAAACTCAGAACGAATTTGAAGTGGTTCTATGCTGCTAAGGAAGCTGAGACACTAACCCACCAGAATAGTCTTGTTCTAAGATCATCACGTTCCCTCGTACTTAGTGAAGACTCTTCTGCTCTAAATGTTAACAAAATTGGCCGGAAATGGCTTCTTTTTCCACACCTCTATAGCTAACTCTTTCATAAACATATTTCTTCTTTAGACACATTAACAGGAGTCAATTTATAGTTAGATCTTGCTGCCTTTGGAGCCATGAGGTCTCTCTAGGGAGAACTAACATTTCTCTGCTAATTATGGTCTATCAGAGAGAAATACCATGTTCTCCAATTTTAAGTAACTGCGGGACAGGAATGTCACACTAATGCCATCATCTACCAGTAGCACTAACTATTTACCTACTTACCTCTATTTGTTCTAATTATTTTGGAAGCAAGTCTCTGTCCCTCTCTAACCTTTTTTTCATGAAAAGATTCTGGTTCTCTCATCTTGTAGTCTGATTGATGTGATAGGATAGAGTTAATTTAGCTCTAGAAAAAAATGAAAAAACTAAATATTGTTGATCAATTTCATTTACAGAGATAAATGGATGAAATATTCAGGTTTAAGAGAAGACATCTAAAGAATGGCAGACAGCCAGTAAAGCACTCAATCACTTATAAACTCTTAGCAGTCTTAGATCATAGACTCTACCCCCCCGCCAAATGTTGTTGTCCATATATCCGTTGCCATATCTGAGATGAACTTGGTTTCTCTATTAGGTTACTTAATTTTATAGTCATCTTTAAAACTGTGTCAAGCCTAAAATATATCCTACATTATTATCCATGTATTGCTTTCTTTTTTGAGAGTTAAAAATCACAATATGGTCTCCTTTTCCTATACTTAGGTCAAAACGAAATTCATTTAATTGTGATGATCAAAATTCATTTCTGTTCTAGTGATGATGTTAATAGTTTCTAATGAATGAACTAATGGAGCAATTAATGAAGAAATAATTATGTTAGTCCATTATAGTCAAAAGTTATATTTATTAGCAAAAATTCTATTCCATGATGCTCCTAGAAAATTAAGCATAGTAAATCCAAGTGGAATCTGCTGTTACATGTTAAATATGAATAGTAAATTGCATAGGACAATTGATGAAAATTTTTGGAATAAAGTCAGTGATTTTTTTGTGTTCAAGAAAATCTCCCCAAAAGCCCTTTATGAAGTTATGATATCATGGGAAAAAGAAAGCTCTAGAGGTTTTCTGTTTCATCCTTCTCAATCTCCTCATAATTCTTAGAAATACGTTGTATTTTTAAGTGGATACAATGTGAGGTTGTTTGCTTTTAAGAGTAAGTTTTCAATTTTTTCTAGAAAATGATTATATCTTAAAACAGCTAATTTAGCAGTATCCTTACACTCATCTGACCAAATTTTTGAAGAGGTATTTTTTCTCCTGATTTTTGTCTGACTCCAGTATCAGAATATATTATGGATTTTTAAATTGTCTTTTTTCTGTTTTCTCCTTGGGTTTTTACTTGCCTGATTATGCTTGTTCAAATGCCAAACATTATGTATAAAAGATTTTGGAATATGAGGCTTTAAATGTTGTAACCTTCCAAAAAAGCAGATTTTCTTTTGCAGGCAGTTAAGGTAAGGAGCAGATCACTTTAATCCAATCAGATATTGGGTTGATTCAAAGCTGGGCTTCCTGAAGGCAGATCTATTTCTTGTCAACTCTTACTCATAGGTTTTTGCTCTTTAAGGGTTCCAATTTAAGTCAGGAGCTTGTTCCAGGGCCCCCTTTCTTGACAGACCCTAAATGCCAACTTCTGTTCCCTCCATCCTGTGAGATGGCCAGAAGCTTTGTTCATCTTCTCAGTTAGCTAGTAATGTCAAGTCAGTAAATGCACCAGTAAATGCCTTTAAAGGGAAAGCAGAGGCATCCGATGTTAGATTTGCTTTGCGGGTTTTTCTTCTCTCCTGGATCTTGGTTCCTGAAGCCTTCACCTCCTTGGGAACTCTCTGATATCTTCAAATATATTCCTTAAAAATATGTTATTTAGCTTATCTTCATTGTGCTTTCCTGGAGGCTTATTTACCTCACTGTTGCTGAGAACAAAAAATCAATGTATTTGGTTTTAAAGGTCTTTAAACACTAGTGTGTTTTCCTCTTTTACATCAACCCTTTGGGGTAAGGAGGATGAAAAAGCATTGTCCCCGCTTTACAATACAGCAACTGAGAATGAGGAAGGGTAAATGATCTTCTTAAATCTGGAAGTCAGACTAACTTCTGGTCTAGCTCTGCTTCCTCATGTGACCTCACTGACTTTCTTATTAAATCCAGTTAGTCCCTTTCAAATCATTTCCAAGAAAGTAAACTGTTGTTTATTTATGGAGAATCCATACTGCATTTGTTGGTCCTATGCAAAGCTATATATGTATTCCCACTCAATCACTCTTCAAGTGTTTTGAGGTATTATTCTATTTTTTTTTTTCAAGAGAATAAACTGAAGAAAGTAAGTCATAAAGTCAATCTTGAAACTCATGTCTATTTGACTAAAAACTTTTTTTTTTTTCAGTTTTCCAAACTGAAAATATTCTTTTTGAAAACTATAAGTGGTCAATGAGCAAGAGAAGTAGTGGTTACATTTGGGGACTATAGATTTAGCCTATTAATCACCTGATGGAGTCCTAGTATATCAATCCATATAGTCATCTTTACTTCAGCATTTCATGGTTTTTACTATTGGTGGAAATAGAATTTTCAGGACATCGTCGTTAGAAAAAATTCCAGAAACGGAACTTAGGGTTTTTGCTTGCCCAGTCTCCATAGAGTTGTGCCATGGTTGGTACTGAGATTAACCAAACTCAGAATACATATGAATTTATAAAGACTCTTGTGTCAAACATTGGTCATTGATGGTACTTGTTTATTTTTTTTTAAGATTTTATTTATTTATTCAAGAGAGAGAACATGAGAGGAGGAGGGTCAGAGGGAGAAACAGACTCCCTGTTGAGAAGGGAGCCTGATATGGGACTCAATCCTGGGACTACAGGATCATAACCTGAGCTGAAGGCAGCTGCTGAACCAACTGAGCCACCCAGGTGCCATGATGTATTTGTTTAAAGTGAAGATCTGTGAAATCCGGTTGTCTAAGAAGGATAATTAGTCACTATAACAAGGGCATTTTTTCCCCATTTTATTTTATTTTATTTTATTTCTTTTCAGTGTTCCATCATTCATTGTTTATGCACCACACCCAGTGCTCCATGCAATACGTGCCCTCCTTAATACCCATTACCAGGCTCACCCAACCCCCCATCCCCCCTTCCCTCCAAAACCCTCAGTTTGTTTCTCAGAGTCCACAGTCTCTCGTGGTTTGTCTCCCCCTCCAGTTTCCCCCAACTCACTTCTATGAGGGCCATTTTTGAGAGCCTATTAGGGTCCTGGCAGTGGCGGAGCGTTTTACTAACTATGATCTCATCTAATCCTCACAGTGACACATGTACAAGGTAGGCTTTGATATATACATTTTATAAACCAAATAATGAGCATCAGAGAAGTCCATTAACTACTGTTAGGTCACTCATCTTATATTGGATCTAGAACAACAATTAAATGAGATTGGACT